ACGTGTCCCTCTGCGCGGACTCCCCTCTCTCCCCGCCCCTTATCTCCTCTTCCCTGCTCAGACCTGCCGTCCTCTGGGAACCGGACCCCCCGTTAGTCCATACATCCTGCTATCCTTGCTGCCCGCTGTTTGGGCGTCCTCTATTTTCCCTCAGGGCGGCATTTATCACTGTTGGTAGTTTTCTCCTGTATGGTGCTTGGGATGCCTGAGTTTCACTGTAGTGTGTGCTCCTCAGAGAACATGCTTTTTAACTAGTCTCTGTAACCATGGTTCTCAAGATGTGGCCAGGTCAGCAGCTTCAGCATCACCTGGGTATCTGCTAGAGAGGCAGATTCTTGGGTTGCATCCTAGCCCTGCTTAATCAAAACTCTGGCAGTTGGGCCAGCAGTCTGTTTTAAGAAGCCCTCCAGTTGATGCAGTCCTGGTGCTAAAGTCTGGGAACCACTGCTCCAGAACAGGGTGCCAGACACAGTTAGGACCTCAGGACACACTTGTGGAATGCTCTATATATCTACCTTCATAACTAGCCCAAATGAGGTAACTTGTAATTTTAAAGTTTGAGAAGAGCACAAACCCCAGGTGTAACATTGTGTGAATTATTACCAACAAATTTCACCTGTGTAGCTACTATCCAGCCCAGGAAATGGTGACTCCCTAAATTTTGAATCTCCAGAAATGGAGTACGGGGCCTGATGCTTGTAGATTCTCGGTCAGCATTTACTGAATGAGTGAAATGGTGGTTACCTGACCAGGGTTGGGGGCAGGTAGAGGTCCCTGCAGCCACAGGCTCAGCAGGTTCAGAGTTGGGAGGATGGCTTGAGAGGGGGTTCAGGCACCTTTACAGTACGAGGACTTTGGTCTAATTCAGGTGGTCACATTTCTCAGGCTTTGTTGGGGCACTGAAAGCTTGGGTTCCTTTAGTCTGAGTGTTGCTGTTTTCGACGCAGGTGGTTTCACACATGACGAGCTACTGAAGGTGTGGAAAGGATTGTTCTATTGTATGTGGATGCAGGACAAGCCGCTCCTCCAGGTGAGTGCACAGGAGGGAGCAGGAGGGGCTGGGGCAGCATCACTGGGGGGACAGATGTCCACCCTCATTTTATACAGCAAACATGCTGGGGGGCATTCGAGAGCCCCAATACTTTTTTTTCAATAGCCAGAGGGGCCAGGACCTCTGGTCAGCGTGGTCCTCCCCTGGCTGAGCTGCCCCCGGCAGCAGCGCTGGTGACTGCAGTGCAGGCAGCGGGTGAGAGCCAGGCTTCCTTGTCGTGTGCTTGTCAGAGACGGTAAGCTGGGTGCAGAAACGGTGGAAGCCAAGGGACTTGGCTTCTCCTGAGACAAGTGTCTCTTCTGCTAGCCTTTTTAAAAAACTGTCTTTTTAAAAAACAGGTTTTATTTTTTAGGGCTGTTTTAAGTTCACAGCAAAATGAGAGGAGAAGGTACTGCGATTTCTCATACACTTCCTCCCCCAAGTTGTGCACGGTCTCCTGGGTTATCAACAGCCCCACCAGAGTGGGTCACTGGTCACAGTCCATGAACCCACATGTCATGTCGGCGTCACCCAGAGTCCATGGCTTACCTGAAGGCTCCCTCCTGTGTTATACAGTCTGTGGGTTTGGGTAAACGCATAATGGCATGCGTCCCTCATTGTATTTTACGCTGGAGCTTCACTGCCCTAAACTGCTCGCCTTTCTAGAGTATTTCTCAGTGGGAATTGTTTACTCTTCAAAAGCACCTGGGCGGTGAGGGTACTTATTTAAAATGCAGATTCCTGGGCTGTATTCCATGCCTACTAAACTAGGACTTCTCAAGAGAAGGCTCTGGAATCACCTGTTTAGCCTGAGCACTGGGCGATGCTTGGTGCAGTGACACAGACAGGCAGCAGGTGGTCACCCCCTCCCTGCTGGTTCCGAGGCTCCTGCTGTCTCCTGTCCCCTCCTTTCCCCCCAGTGGAGGTACTGGGGATTGAACCCAGGACCTTGTGCACGCTAAGCACACACTCTACCACTGAGCTATATGCCCCCCCCCCGCCCCAGAGGAGAGAGGGCTCATACTCGGGGCTCAGCCTCGGTCAGGAGAGTAGTTACTGCCCTTGAGTGTTGTGAGGTTCTGTCGGCCCAGCCTTCTGGGGGGCCTTTCACAGCCTGTGTGAGACCTGCAGACCCCGAGTGCACTGGGCTGAGAGGCCCTGCGGAGCTGGTGCCCGCGATGACTGAGAACAGTTGAGTGACTGTCTTCCTGCTCTTGCTCGTGGCTGTCAGACCTCGTTTCTTTGGGGACTGAGGGCGTTTGTGCTGTTTCTGCGCAGGAGGAGCTCGGCAGGACCATTTCGCAGCTTGTCCACGCTTTCCAGACCACAGAGGCCCGTGAGTATCCTTGCCGAGGTCAGGCCAGAGCCGCAGAGGGTCGGCTCCGGGACACAGGAGGCTGGTGTTCCGGGGGTGAGAGCGAGATGCCCACTCCGGCCGGCTTCTGTTGGCGCTGGTGTGTGAGACGCTGTTCTCTGTCTCCCACGTGCATTAACTCAGCATAGACTCGGTCAGGGGTCTGGAGGGCTGATACCGCACATTTTAAAGTTAAAATGGTAAGCTGGTGTGGTGTTAGCAGGCTGGTGACTGATGCTCACCTGCTGGTTGTAAGTCCCTGCAGGGCATCCCCACCTCTCCTGTTCCCGTTCTCACTGAGGTCGGTAGTTCTCAGCGCTCCCGCAGGCCCGTTGGACTCCGCTGAATCTTTAAAAAGCCTGATGTCTAGACCCTGGTCCCGTTAATTCAAGCTCTGCAGGTGGGGCCTGGGCACCAGCATCCTCCACCTCCCTCCACTGCTCCGAAGGTAGCCAGGGCTGGGCGTTGGCCGCGGGACCGTTGCCGGGCAGGCCCTGACAGTGTGGCTTACACTGAGCAGACAAAGTCGTGAGCAGTAGGGAGTGTGCAGTAATGGTGACTACTGTCTTCACTTGGGAGAGTCTCTTTAACTGCACTTGAGTCATTATCCACGAGATCTGTTCTCCACCATGTTTACCTTCCAAGAGCCTGCAGAAGAGTTTCTGTGCTCAGCAAGCCAGGCACAGAGCGTTCAGTTGGTGCCACTTGAATGAGGTTGTGAACGCAACCGTGACTGAACCACCTTCCAGGCCTTCCTGTTGGAGAAGCTCTGTGGCAGGAAGTGGTGCCTCTTTCTGCCCGAGCTCAGGGTGTCAGTAGGCAGGGTTCTCCTGAGGCCCCTCTCCTGGGCCTGCAGATGCTGCCTCTCCCTGTGTCCCCACCTGGTTGTCCCTCTGTATGTGTCTGTGTCCTCGGCTCCTCTTAAGGACACCAGTCAGATTGGATATGGGCCCACCCCAGTGACCTTTTATCCTAATCACCTCTCTGAAGGCCCTCGGCCCAGATTGAGTCCTGTTCCAAGGTCCTGGAGGCAACAGCTTCAGTGTTGGGTGGGGGCCCGGATGAGCCCGCGGAACTCTGGTCCCGACACACCCGTTCTTGGAGGGCTTCGTGCATGACCAGCAGTGGATCCTGGGGGCAAGCTGTGCGGTCGGGCAGGTGTCGGGCGGGGTCCTCCCCGAGCCGAGGGGTGGGGGGAGCGGTGGGGGGGAGCAGGGGTGAGGGCTGCCCTCGTGCTCTCCGGGCCTGTTCTGCAGACAGTGAGGCTGCAGTCTGGGGTTGGAGCTGGGCTTTGCTTTTCTGTCGCAGGCTGCTAACTGCCCCGTTTCACAGGCACACAGACTCGGGGGCTGAGCGCCCCGCCGCCGGGACTCGGGATGCCCTCGCCTGCCCCCTTCCCTCCCCAGGTGGCTTCTGCTTTTCTTCGTGACCCTCCCCCCTTCTCTCCTCCAGAGCACCTGTTCGTTCGGACCTTCTGGCAGACCATGAACCGCGAGTGGACGGGCATTGACAGACTGCGCCTGGACAAGTTCTACATGGTGAGGAGGGCCCGCGGGGCCAGGGTGGGGACGGCCGGGCACGGCGGGAGCATCCTGGCTTCTGGGC